GTTGACTTTAAATCGACTTTTTTTTCTAAATTGGGCAATTTTGCGCAAATACTTAATATTGGCACTTGATATATAGATGGTCGATTAAAAGTTCCTGAAGACATCCAATTGTTAAACGCTGACACAAAATTTTTATGCTTATATGAAAAAAGTGAAATCGCATTTTATTTGAAAATCGAAAGGATACGACCACTGATTGATAAAGGCCGGTACAAGCTCAGCATTCTTCCAGGTAATCTTGTAACAATTGGGGACTTCGCTTTTTTATTTGGTAAAACAATTTCGCAATTTTATTTGGTAAAACAAAATAAGAAGTTAATCCTGATTCCGCATAGAAAATGTGGCATAATAAGGCGCACACCCATGCGGTACACCCATGCGTATGAGTAATGTGAAAATGCCGCCCCATACGCAGTAGCAGGTGGTAACATGGAGTGTTAAATAAAAATGCCGACGCAACGAAATGGAAGTGCAAAGCAAAAGCAAATGTTTACTTTTTATTTCAAATATTCGAGCAATGCTACCGGTTGCGAAAAGGCCAAAGTTAACTATAAGGCGCATAAAAAATATGTCTAAATCGCAAACGGAATCCAACGTCAACAGCAAACGAATAATGCCGCGTTAAATGCTTTGACCAAAGGACGAAAGGCTAACCCAAACTCAATTACAAAATATCACAGCATCGCAAATAAATAAATTAGTCAGATACAAATCTGTAGAAATATTGTGGGAATTACAAGCCACGCCGGTTGGGCCGGGCGATACCGCTAAAAGGAAAAATTTAATATATTTTTGCTTTTATTTCCATTTTTTGCGCTCTTTGCATTCAACTGCCATGTTTTTTTTTTGTTTTTTTTTTTGCAGAAGGACTGCACTGCGCTCAACTCAAGCAAAACAAATAGAAATGCCGTAACGAAAATGTTTACCAACAGATGTTACAAAACTGATAGGGGAAAACGGAAAAAGATAGAGCTTCACATTCACACACACACACACATATATATACAGCCGCATATGCAGAGATAAAACCAAGGGTACATTGTGGCTGGCTATTTAAAAATAGAAACGAATGACTGAATTGAAATGATGCAAGTAAACAAGCAAACAAGCGCGACCATAAAAATAAACAAACAAACAAACCCAAAATAAAAAGAAAGGGAGACCCAGCAAATATACAAACAAATGAACAGACGAAAGAGCAAACAAAATGCAAAAGCATACATACTTACAACTGCAATCATATAGAGAGGAAAAATTTTAAAGCCAGAAAGAAAAAAAATATAGTAAAATAGAGCTGGCTGTAAGCCCCTGCACTGTAAAACGTGCAGAAAAGCCCCAGGCCAGCTTGAGTCACGCAAGCGTGAGCTGTAATTTTTTCTGGGTACCAGCAATCTAATGGCCCGCAGCTAGCAAATAGAAGCCGAATGCATTGGCTGGTGCATGAAAGCGTGAAAAAACTACGGGAAGCAAACGAAAAATGGATGCGACATCATTTTTAGCGCGCAGGGGGGAGGGGGCGCGCATACAATTTTGGTTGGCTAACTGCAACTATACATTTGCAATCTACCTACATATGTATAGATACATATTTATGCAGCCGTTTTGTTTCGAGCCAAAGGCAACATTTGCTTGCAGTGTTTAAGCGAGGTTGTGCGTGTATACGAATGTGCCGTATTGTGTGTAGACAGCGAGTTTAAAAGTTATGAAATACGATGCGGTCAAGGTGGCACAATATCGCTAGGAATAATATTTATGGTCGATGTTAGTTTTGGTACATGGTTTTCGGAGAAATTCAAGGCAATCAAGTGCGAGATGAAATTTTTAAAGCAAAGAATTGTATAAATTTGTTAAGCTTTGTTTGTTAAGGGATCACAAATTTTGAAAGGGCGAAATGCTGTTTACGCAAATAGGAGCAAGGTGCTTTTTGAATATTTTTAATTATTTTCATCTGCTTCGGAGCAATGACTGGACAATCTTATTACTTTAAAATTGCAAGTTTTACTCTCTACTTTAAAATTTTGGCAACCTCACATAAGCGGTTTGGCATTATCTTGATACGTGGTTTTGTATATGTACATATATATATGGGAAATATTTTTGAAATTTTTTTTCTTGAAAAATTTTTCACATACAAATTTTTTGATAAAAAAAATAGTTATTGAAAATATGCCATCTCAAAAAAACGGGAAAAAATCTCCATGGTATATCTGAGTATTGCGCAATAATTAAGTATAGTATTACAGGGTGCACTCTGCAATAATTTGAGTTATGAACTTTTTTACACCGAAGTTGAATAAAATGAGTACATTACAAATTTACAAACTTCTTTGAGTATGCAGTTTTGTAGCCCATTAAATTTTAGTGTAACAAAGTGAAAGTTTTAAGAGATTGCAAAACTGGCGTTTATTTTATTTATTTTTTTTTAATTTTCTTTGAAAACGGTATTGCGCAGTTTCTTCCATAAGAAAAAAGTGCAAAAAACCCAAAAAAACAGTAACACCTACATACTTAATTATTGCGCAATACTCAGAGCTACCATTGTGATTTTTGTTTTTAATTTTTTTGAGATGGCATATTTTCAATAAATAATTCTTTTTATAAAAAATTTGTATGTGAAAAACTTTTCAAGAAAAAAAAATTAGAAAATATTTTCTGTTTATAATTTAATTAAAAATTATATAAAATTTAGAAATTTTTATTGTATAGTTATTTCACTTTTCTGTTAAGAAAACCCAAGACTCATTATTACTCTTTGTGGGCTCTAAAAAACTTTTAAACCATGCCTTGCTCACATATAAATATTTTGCCTTGAGACTTTATTCGATTTTATAAAATTTAACTAAAACCACTTTATATATATATATATATATATAAATCGCGGCATTTTTGAAAACATTAATCCATGGTGAGGGCTGCCATGTTTTTTTTAACCCAAGTTTATATCCTATTAAATTCATCGAGTGACTTTCAGTAGGTGTGTAGTAGGTATAACAGTGCATATACACCTAAAATATGTATGTACTTTTCATCCTGAAGTGTTTCTAAATAATTTTTAATGTAAGATATCTACATACTTGAGTTTCAAGCTTTGTGAAACATAAAAAAACACACACTTTCCTAAACGTTTCGAGATTTTTAATTCGAATTTTTAGAAATATTTTGAATATGAAGTTTTGTAGCCTACTTAATTTTAGTATAAGAAATTGCAAGCTTAAAGTAGCTGGGTATCGTTGAATTCTAGATTTTTTTTTTTGTTGACGGTGTCAGTTAGTTTCTTCTTCAACAAAAAAAATGGACTTTAGCCAAAAAAATTCAATTTCTACACCTTTTTCAGTTTTAGTTTAGAAAGTTGCAATTTAAATTCAGAAAGTTACAATTCAAGTTCAGAATTTCCATTTCAAATTCAGAATTTCCATTTCAAATTCAGAAAATTACAATTCAAATTCAAAATTTCCAGTTCAAATTCAGAAAGTTACAATTCATATTCAGAATCTAAATATTAAATTCAGAAAGTTGCAATTTAAATTCAGAAAGTTAGAATTCATATTCAGAATATCCATTTCAAATTCAGAAACTTTCATTTCAAATTCAGAAAGTTACAATTGAAGTTCAGAAATTTCCAATTCAAATTTAGAAATTTAAAATTTAAGTTCAGAAAATATCAAATTAAATTCAGAAATTATTTTATTTTCAATTTGCATTGGAAGAAAAAGTCTTCCCAAACGACGAGAGTCAGTTTAACCAAGGACTGTAACGGCTATGATCTTTGTGATAAAAATCATAATTAAATTTTCATAATTGGACTTATATTTTTACAAGTTTTAATTTAACTTGCTCTGTATGTATGTATGATTGCTAGGGGCAAATTTTGCAAACAATTTTTTACCGACTTCGAAACTTGAAACTTCACGGTTGGGTCAGAACCCGATGACAATGCAATACAAAATATGAGTTAATCCGATAGGTGGCGCAGGAGTCGAGGTATTTGAAAAATCCGTATTTATAGACCGATTTTTTCATATTTAGAACGCATACTTCTTTGAAAAGAAAAAACTCCACGAAAAATTTTGCCGATACGTTTGGTAGACGAGTATATATGGTCCGACCACCGTGGTTTTATTGTGTTAAATTGTAAGATATATGATTTATAAAAAGAATTAATAGCGAAAATGTTAAAAAACGGCGATTTTTGTGATAGTATTAGCAAAATTCAGTGCATCTAAAGTTTCTAAGGCGTTGTTTACTTTTACTTGAGAATTTTCAAATTCGGCAAATCTCAGGTAGCGGCTGAAACGTGCTACATAGTATACCAAATAAAATTGAATTGAAAACTTTGTGACACAGTCGCTTCTAAAAATTCTTTACTTCGCACAGTGAATATACATTTTCTTAACTTAAATTAGAAATTTCTGAACTTCAATTATAACTTTCTGAATTTGAAATGAAAGTTTCTGAATTCGAAATGGCATTTCTGAATATGAATTGCAACTTTCTCAACTAAAACTGAAAATGGTGTAGCCCACAGCGCGCTTAAATAATTTAATTTTTGGTAAAAAGCTATATGTGTAAAACTACCACTTGATAGCTATTTAAAAAGTGCTTCGGCTACGTGGTCAATTAGCTATTTATTTCATTTGAAATTTGCAAGATAACGCAAAAAATTAAAATTTTTAAAATAAAAATAAAAATTATACTATTAAGAGAGAAATTTCAGTTGAAATTTTCATAAAGGCGATAAGATAATACAGTGGCACATTTGCGAGTAAGTTTTTTCTTAAACAAATTGTGTTTCATTAGCACGCACTGTGCTTCTTTCCACTTATGTAGGTATGTATGTACATTATTTATTTTATTATACTATTTTATGCAGATAAATTTGTATGCAACTATGTATTTCTTCTTGTTCATGTGCAACCAACCATTAAGTTTCTACATACATATGTACATACATATAAGGAAAGGAATATAAACATTAAAATCTGTATGTAGTTCTTTTGTGTCACTTACGTTGTAGTATTTCCGTTAGCCGGTGTCCTCGTGATGAAGTTTGCATGGGTATAATCAACTGAACACTCAGCGCTGTAAACCAGAAATAGAAAGAGGATTATAATTAAAGTGAAATAGCTCGTATTTAGGGTGCAACCGAGATAATACAAGTATTTATGTGCATGTGCATATAATAAATGAATTCAAATGCACGCAAACACACACTTGCACATAAATATCAGTACATACATATGTATGTACATGCTTGTCCCACAATACTCTTCGTTGTTCGCTTGTGCACAAATTCTAAGCACACTAATGAGTTTTTATGCTTTTAATAACACAACAGGTAGATATAATAAAATTTCAAAAAGTTGTAATCTCATTCATTACCGTTACATTGTGACATTGTTAAAGGAAGCGTAGCATACAGACATACGCACATATATATATATATATACGTACATAAATACATATACGCATAATGATATATGAGTTTTTGTTTTCTGTCTGAATGTGGAAGATTGTCTTTATTGGGGAAAGGAGAAAGGGTAGAACATTTGCATAAATTTATATTCTTTGCACTGGGAAAAAATACGTACGTACCTATGCATGGCTACAAATGTATTCATAGGAGTATTTAATGTTTAGTTGTAGTTAAAAGATTTTCATTCCATACATAGGTTGCTGTGGGAAAACACCTGGTAATCTGTTGTAATACAGTTGTGAAATAAAAATTTAAGTATTGAAAGAAAAAGTGAATGAGTAAGGACTCGTTAGATTAAATTAAAATTTATTCATAATTTTTACACTTCGAGGCGAATTTAGAAGCTGGTGGCCAATGATCACATCTGCTTATTACTAATGACAAATAAGACAAAAATATGCACACAAAAAATAATTATATGATCATTAAAATGACTCCGAAATATTAAAAACATGCTTGATATATAATTTTTTTTTTTTAAGATAAGTTAGGCTACTCTGGGTCTCAAGCCTAGATGTATAAAATTCAAATTATGTATATATGTATGTGGGAAGTTTTCAAACCGAATTTTCATATCAGAAGCAGTGGACGATGATATCAAATACAACATATCTGTGAAGTTTCAAGAGTGTGCCATCAAATTAAAGAAATGGCAGCATGCACGTTTACGTTTTTTTTTTATTCTAATAATTTTAGACACTTCAAATGTTAAAATAAAACCTTGAAAATATGAGTGAATCTAGTGTAATAAAACTATTGCGTCATTAAATGAAAAATAAATAAATAATAAAAAATAATAATAATTGCATTGAGTAAAAGATGGCTAATGAGAAACAAAGAGCATATTTTTATAATTTTTATTGGCATACTCGAAACTAATTTTAAAATTATTATATGCATGAAGAAAGTAATATATATGTGCATAAAGAATACTGTGTAAAAATCGTCCACGCCAATAATAAATTACTTTTAAATAATATAACTTTTAAGTGAAGGCGCACGAATAAACGTAGCAGCTGACTGTTTATGATGCAACGGTGCGAATACGTTACATACAAAACTACGGATATATGAGCACGAGTTGTTACTTTTACTTTTTTTTTTTTAATATAATTTTAAAGTTTTTATTTAAATAAAATTTCAAAATGGAAACTTGTTCTTTACTCAAATCGGAAGATAATGCATTGTCTAAGATAGATGTGCCATCATTTTCTAAATTTATCGTAATAATTTTTTTCTATACTAAAACAAAACAAAACATTATATTTAACAATTTCCCTAATGCACATGCATGTTTAATGCTAACTGCTAACAACTGCAATTGTTTTTTTTTCAACGTTGAAATAAATTTTTATCTTAAAATATGGTTACCAGGAAACTGAGTACGGAATGTCAACAAAATATTCTAGTAAAGTACAAAGTTGAAGAAAGTTATGAATCAGTAATGGCTGTTTAAAAATAAAAAGGAAAACCAATCAGCATTCTTGCTCACTTGAAGAAGTAATCGAATGCTCTGCGCCAACAGAATGATCTTAATATATTCTACAAACAACGGAATGGCTGTGGCAGCAAAATTGCAAAAATGCAGCAACAACTTTATGCATTCGATTTAAGAATCTTTGAAAATACATTTTTTTTTTATCCAGCAAAGCGGAAAACAACCATTGTCAGATAAGTCAGTACAAGCTGCAGTAGAAAATTGAAAAATGAACAAAATATGCAAACAAATCGAAAAAAGCATTTGAACTTTATCTGCAACTTCAACCTGCAGTAGATTTATGTTTCAACACACACTTAGTAAGCAATGTTGGAAAAATGGAAACAAGCGATTGTGGCTGTTATTGAATGCATAATCGCACACGTTTTAAGTTGTTGCTTACAAACAGGCGCATGCACTTCAATGCTGTGGAAAACAAAAACCAATACGCGAACAATTTGGATTACCTAAGTTCGTACATACTTATGTGTGTGTTTATTGTGTATTTGTTGTATATTGTGCAAGCGTGCACAATGCGTGCAGATTTAATACGAGTTCGTTGCATGCTAACAACTACCGTTAGCAATCGACTTAGTAGCAACGAGATAACGAGTTCTCAGTGTAGTCGAGCGTAGCACACTTTCAATTGAGCGAACGCACCTCTGTTCTTTCGATATATTTATTTTTTTTTTGTTTCTAGTTGTGAGTATTGCATTGTACTCGGCATCTAGAATGTATAAAGCAGCAAATATTTGCTTGCAGCAGATTAGGTGGCGTATACAGAAATGAATACTACCGCTTTTCCTTACTCGAACAAATAATGTTGATATGCAGTAATGGTAACTGTACTAGTATGTTTATGGTAATAATATTGTTAACGGTAATGCCAATAGTAATGGTTGTGGTAATGGTAATAGTAATGGCTATGGTATTGGGTATCGTTATATAATGAGAAGGGTAATAGTAATGTTAATGTTAATGTTAATGTTAATGTTAATGTTAATGCTAATGTTAATGTTAATGTTAATGTTAATGTTAATGTTAATGTTAATG